GGGGAGATGCTTTCGGCCACTCTTCTGGAATTCTGCTGCTCCATCCCAGGCAGACCCAGCCACATCCCTGAGCCCTTACCTCTCAAGCCCACTGACCTGGTATGAACCATAAGGGTGTTTGTCCCTCCAGATGCCCATGCCCACAGCGGCCCGACGTCCAACTCTAGCATGACCACCCGGGAGCTACAGGACTACTGGCAGCACGAGAAGTGCCGCTGGAGGAACGTCAAACTGCTCTTTGAGATCGCTTCAGCCCGCATCGAGGAGAGGAAAATCTGCAAGTTTGTGGTAAGCAGAGACTGGGAAATGATGGGACCCCACTTTCGCTGCCTTCTTCCCGGCCCTGGGCAAGTCTTGTGGGGCCTCAGCTTTCCCAGCCATGAAATGGGTCTACTCTGACTCGAGAGCAGGACTTGGCACTCGGCACTGCGCCAGGTTCGGTGAGGGTCAGAACTGTAGGAGTTGCGATGAATCTCATGTGATCAGATGTTAGTCATCTGTGTCCTTTTTTCACCAATTCTGTCATAGCCCTGTATCATTTATAATTACTACTTATTTTTTTCTTTAAACTAGATCATTTCTTAAAAGCACTAAATCCATTTATTTCAAACGGAAATATTCTAAATAGAAACCCAACATCAAATGGTATAAAGAAAAAGGAATTATAAAATTACTTTTTAAGTATAAGGAGGCCACTTTTAGCCGGGGTAGAGAGGAAAAAAGTCAATTCAAGGAAAGGTACAGGCTGTTAGTAAATTCTCGCTGGTTACTGTGGCCAGTGGAAAGCCCTGTGCGTGGGGACTGCTCTCTCTATGGACTGGAATTTTAGCCTGTGTTAAGGAGACGGCAGAGACTACAGAAAAGCCCCACTCAAGGCTGCGCCTTCACTTAGCCAGGACCAGGATAGCAATAGCAGCCAGTGACCACTGACTGCTCATGGAGCACCATTCCACAAGGTTTTAGTGCATTAACTCATTTAATCCTCACCCAGCCAGGTGGGTACTCTGCCTATCCTCGCTTTAAGGAAGAGGAAGCTGAGGCTCAGAGAGGTTAAGTTATCTATCTAAGACCACACAGCAAGACCATACTGAGTCTGGAATTACGACCCAATCAGTCTGGCTCCGACGTCTGTGTCCTCACTCAGTATTCTCTGGGAACAGAACTGGAAAGAAATAATTATCTTGCTATAACATCATTGCCAGTGTACCTGAATGATGATGTATAGTACTTAAAACCAACTCCCAAGGGTTCCACCTTGGAAAACACAGCCGTCATCCAAGTATCTCAGAAAACTGAGGCCCAGTTTTGACGATGTAAAAACAGACCCCAGCTCTGTACATGGCAGACCCCTGTGCTTTTTCTCTTCTGAGGTACCTCCATGTCACTGTGTCTGTTATTCCGGGGGTGACTCTTCTCATGATTCACTTTCATAGTTCAGCCCATGCTGGTGACAGTTTAAAACAGAACTGTGCAGCTGGGCGCAGTGGCT